GCATACTCGATGATGCTAAAAGCTTGGTAGCTTTTGGCGAAACTTTGTTCAGCGATTAGGCAGTTCGTTCAGGTTCATGCTGGAATTAATGGTCGCGCGATCCCATGGCCATAAGTAAAACGATCCGAAGATAAAGTCCCACAAATTCCACATGAGAGCGATGCAGAATATGCCCACGAAGGTGGCAACAAAGCGAACTCTGAAAATGAAAATCCGTGTCACTTTTACGGAACTAACAGAGCAAAATAATTGGAAAAACACAATAAAAACGTGTATTGCACCGCTCCGTGAACCTGGCATCGGAACAAAAAAAACTAAACAGAATTCAAGGGCTTGATTTAAACAGCAGAAAGTTGCTTGAGCTTCGAAATGATGTCAAGACATCAGTCTATGCTGAGTTTAAGGCAGTCTTTAAAAAAATATATATTTATATGGCATTGTATAATCACAGCTAAACTGCTTGACTCATACTCAGTGGCATTATGTAATCGACGGCCGATGAGTTTCGTTCGCGTCAGCTCAGTGGTTCGCACCCAAACGGTTAGCCTTCGCCGCTAGAAGGGAGTAGGAAACAAATAAGACGGGCGAACACACCGTGCGTACGCTTCAATAAATCACATAAGAGCAGCGTGTTTTGCACTAAACTTTTGTTTACATTCATTGGCGTTGATAATCGTAGGAATGTGTGGTCTCTGATCGATCGAGATATGTCTATAATTCAAACAGTTTTTGAAGTAAACAAAGTAAACCCATTCGATGATTACAATGTTCAAGACAAATTATGTTCCACACAAAATCTTCTACTAATGTTTTCAGTCTTACGATTTTAAAATGCACAAATCCGCTCTAACTGTTCACATGCAACTGAACCCTCGTCTAAATGTCATCACATCCTACGGGAGTAATTTAAGGAAGCAAAAGCCACGACTGCATGGCACTTTGTTAGAACAATACTTTAGCCATGAACAGTGCTAATGACTAATGAATAATGTTAATATGCCTCATCAGAACTACTAATTACTGATTAAATTCTATGATAATGTTCATAATCAGTTGCCGAGATTCATCAAATACTCTATAATTACAAAAGTACTGAGAATATAATGTTTAAAGTCTAAACATTTAAAATGCGATGTGCGGTGCAGACAAAGAAAAATCCGAAAGAAACTGTATTTAGGTTAGCCTCTTTCACCAATCAAGATTTGCTTACCTGGTTCGAATACACGGCCAAGCTACCTGCCACAGAGCAACCAATACCGTAACCACTATCTGTAGCAACAGTATCAAAGCTCGAAACGCTTGGCTCCCAGGGGACATCTGCTGCAG